GACTTCACTCCTCTCCCCATTAAGTCTTATAGTACAGTTCTACGTAGCTAGGAAATCAAGATAACGTAGCAGAGACCTAGGACCGTAGCATTGGCAGTCATGCTTCTTTTCCCCATGTACATTTCATGCTCTCTTTTCTTTCCCATTTGCTTCTCCATCATTGGAATATAAACCCTAAACCCTACAATCTGAAGCCTAAGCCCCTTACACTACGGTGTAAGACCATCACAAGTCTGTGCCCTGCCTGTAGTCTGCCAGGAGATGCAACGTGTCACGCACGAAAATCCCAAGGCGGCGGTGGCGAAAGGGGGTGGGGTCATCCCCTTTCCAAAAGGAGCATGGGAACCTTATGTCATGTATTACCCAAATCATGGACAAGCAAATGAAAAGAGAACGGACAGTTGGAATGGAAACTGGGGTTACATGGAGAGCCCTCAAGCACTATGAGTGCTTTATTCTTTGCGTCTTCAAGCCCCGAACCCCTTCTGTGCTTGCACCTTCTGAAACCTTTCTGTTGCGCAGCATTTCGTTGCCAAGGCTTCTGCGCACTTTTGATGCGTTGTGGGGTTCAGGGTACCTAAATCTTAAAAGTATGTATAATAAGAACCGTTTTGGCCGCTTTTAGGGTTTGTGGCCATGTTTCCATCTACTTTTGGGGTTCAGCGTGAAAAGTTGGCATGTATTCTCCGGTTGTTGCGCTTCCTCTGTCGCTGTTTCACGTGGGGAGTCCTGAAAAATCTTTATCGACAGAAAAAACGGAGAATCAAACGGAAAAGAACATTGACCACGAATTGGAAACTAACATTTAGGGTGGAGGGTTTGGGCTTTTGGGAGTCTAGGCCAGCTGCAGACGCAATTCAAACTACAGACCGTAGTCAGCCAAGATCAACATTTGCATCAGACCTGCATTTAAAAAGATAGACCCAGAATTGCTAAACCTTTCCTATTTCAGCCGTTCATAAGGCTGTGTGAAGCTGAGTTTTCTCAGCATCTTATACAAGCTCAGCAACCTCATGTACTCATGTAGTTCCTACAGCAACTCCAGCAAGGCCTTGAAAGAATGCGCAATGTCCCAGACGCTTGCAGAGAAGCCTTTTACCACAAACCCGAATCCTTACATCCCAGACCTCAAACCCTCGACCTCTAAGCCTCTTCCCCAAATTGAGAAACACCCTGAATACTTAGGAATATCACAGCATCCCGGAACTGATGTGAATAATTCCGGCCCCTGGGTCAGCCGGAGGTTCTCCAGGCAGGAGAGTTCCTCCTGCGGGTGGCGCTGGAACTGTTGCGCAACTTGGTTGTGGGTTTGTTGGTTTGGGGTTCAGTCTAGGGCTTAGGATAGGGAACCGTCAAGTTCTGAAGAGGAAATACCTACAGAAGCTCAAACTACGCCCAGGAGATCATTCAAGTCCCTGAAACTTCCTAGTTTGTTCTCTAGTGCTCGCAGAAGGCCTATGGAGTTTCTTTCCCCAACGATTAAAGCCATCATGAAGTGGTTGGGTTCAGGGCTTCCTAGCACTGATCTCAGTCAGGCCTCTGAGCGGACTGTGACTGAAACTAAGGGTGTAGGACCTTGACAGAGCCAACCGTCCGAGCTTGCGTCGCGAGACTTGCAAGCAAGGATAAGATGTACATGAGCTGTAGTCTAAACGCCTTACACGGGGTTATTTGCAGCAGTATTATGGGGGTTCTTAATGGGGATACTTGGAGTTTAGTAGACTATAGCTCATGAAGCCATGCCACCACAAACTACAAACACCAGAGCCTTGCTGACAGTTATGTTGACGCTTCAAGCATTTGACTCAGAGCTGGCATCAAAAAGCTTGCTGCAGTACAATGGGACCTCCAGAGTTAGTGAAATCTTGGCCCAAAAGCCCCAAATAATAGATTCTTCTAACTACTTTTGGTTTCCTGTTTCCTGGTAGCTCTAGAGGCTTGCCGCTAAGCACCAAAGACCTGAACGCGATCCAGGCACCCCCACTCGGCCCTGCGCCGAAACGGCACGGACACTGGACCAGATTTGAAGACAGCGTTTATTTTTCGATTGCCCCAAAGCCTGCCCTAATTTGGGATCTGGTTTGCCCCAAGCTTTGCACAATCTCTAGATGCAAGGGATATTTTTTTCGTCTCAAAGACCGAATCCCCCAAACCTTACGCCTTAACACTGGCCTAAACTTTGAACGCTACACCCCACACCCTACAACCTAAACTCCAAACCCTTAATCGTACGCCCTCCTCATCCAAAAGCCCTACAGCCTGAACAATGAACCAGAACAGCTTGCGCCCCAAGCGCTAAGCCCTAAGATCTAGATGATGCCCAAAAACCCAAAACCTCTAAATCCTAAGCACTCTAAGCCCTAAACCCTGCAACGGGCATAGGAAAGCCATGGTTAACGCCGTCCGCGCCGCAGCGGTAGGCGACCACTTCGGAGTTTTAGTTGCTGGGCCAGGTTTTAAAGTTGGAGGTTTAGGGTTTCGGGTCTAGGGTTTAGGGTCATAATCTAAACTCCTTAAACGGGGTTATATAGGGTTTAGTGTTAGAGGTCTAAAGTCCTTAAAGGGAGACCTTCAAAACCAAAACCCTAAACCCCTACTCCTACACCCTAAATCCCAAATCTGAAAACCCCAAGCCCGAAACCCTAAACCCCAAACTCGAAGCCCCAAACCCTGAACCGCGTGGGCTACAGGGTTGCGACTTTGGGCTGTGTGGTTGCGCTCAGGTTCCGTGGCTCGGTAGTACAGTTCCGGGTAAAGGGTTCCGTTTTGAGGGGTTCGGGTTTAGGGTTTGAGGTTTGGGGACAGGAGCCTAAACATTTTCCACAATACAGGGTTTAAGGTTAAGTTCCAAGACATAGAGAATCAAAGGAACAAAGATGAAATGACACGGAAACTTGCATTTTGGTGCTTCAAGGGTTGTTAATGTAGAAACTAGAATAATCGGCCAATACTGTGCTGCCAGGATACGTATATATTTGTGGTATAGGGTACTTCAAGCAGACCTCAACATGATATTGGAGATACATACGCCCAAGCATGGTCTGTTCAAGACATGCCGAAATTCGACAGATCCTTTGAACTTGGTACTGGGGGTACCCTGAACCTCAAACCCTAAACCCTATGTACTTCTTCTAAAAACACAACTCCTTAGCCCCTAAGCCCCTAGCCCTGAACCATGTTCAAGGTCTTGAGCGCGTCGCTCAAGGTCCAAGCCAGATGAAGTTGATGTATTCAGGACCCCGAAAGCCAATGGAGGCCGTTTCTAAACCCCAAGAAGCGTAACCAGAAACCCTAAAGGCCCTAAAGTACAGGGCATAGAGGCTTTTCTTCGAGATTTTGGGGGTTGCCTGTCATTCGAGTCATCATGTGAATCACAGAATTGGGAGGGCCATAAAAGCTCTCCTTTTTTGGGTTGTAGATTTCGGGACTTGTGGGTATTCTAGTGACCCTAAACCCTAAAACCTTCAGCCTAAACAAGGCCTTTATGAAACCTGAATCCAACATTGCTCAACACTGAACCTCCCATGCATGCTCAGGTTGACGAGGCCACTCTCCTGCGGATCCCGGATACACCCATTTGGGGGATGAATGCTTAGGGTTTGGGGAAGCCTGAACAATGAGGAAGGCCTTGCATAAGTTTAGCATAATATAGTATGAGAACATGCATATTCTATAACCCATAACGGAAGCCCTACGGGAAACGCCCCGAAAATGCGACGGGATCTTCTTTCAGAGCAAGGGCGTTTCAACTTGGTATGATGATATTTGCATCCAGGAATTCCAAGCCTGCAGGCTAGGTTAGTTTACACTAAAGATCTTGTGTCCAAGGTTTCTACAGTCGTGTGTACAAACAACAGGTGGAGTGCCACCATGTTTCTGGATTCTATCTACTTAGGCACAAGTAATTAGGGGAATCAATAATTCAGATGTTCCGATATGGTGTGGGGTCTTTCATGCCGTTGGGCATTGTATGTTTTCGGGGTAATGTTTACCGTGGAGACCACCTGAAGGCGGCTCGGGTACTACTTCTCGCACTGATTCCGCATTGATGAACATCTCTCCTTGCAAGCCTGTATGCGTGATCTGTTCCTTTACCCGCCAGGACCACCCAAGCAGCCATCTCCTTGACCCAACATTTTGCCCAGCCTCTACCTCATGACGCCCAATAGCATCAAACCTCAAAGCGAGAAAGCTGCAACCCTGAACCCTAACCCTGGGGATCCAAGTATTCAAGCAAGATACCTACCTTGGACTTCAGCGTCTATTAACAATGCCCAGTTTGGGATAGTGGGTTCCCTTTACCTGGCCCCTCAACCTCCTCAGCATCCAAACCCCTATCCAAAGCACCTTAGGCAGTAGCCTTCCGCATTTTATGGGGATCCCAGTCACTTTAAAACAGTAGGCCACTGGGCTATGTAACTATAGGCTATAGGGTATATGGAAACCAAACCCCAGTATTTAGGTAAGTGGAGCTGTAGGGATTGTCATTGGAGTTTCGGACAAATCAGATGCGCCTCGCTGCTATTGAAGTTGCAGGGCTGAGGGTTTAGGGGCAGGCGCCTACCCTCAGGACCTCCAAGCAGTGAAATCGCCAAAGCGCGAAAGCCTTAGCCTTGCAACGTAGAACCTTGAAAGCACAAAGCAAGGAAACAGCCCAAGCAAACTGGCATAAAATATAGAAGCCTACATGATTGCTAATACTATTCAAGTCAAGTCCTCACATACCTCTAGCCACTCCCCAAACCCCACTCTAATTGTTTGAGCCTCTAAAGCACCACGCCATTCCAGGGCCTGAAGAAGAATGCCAACCTACAACCTCGTTACCGCAAACCTTACCCTTGCATACGCATCCATGGCACAATCCATAATGGTTGTAAACCTTTCCTGTGCGGAATAAATGCCAAAAGCTTAACCTCGAAAGAAGCCCAGATTCTCAGGACTGGACACCTAAGAGACCCCGCAAGCAGGTGCTTGCGGAAGCGCAAAGTCGCTCCGCCGTGATGGCTGCTGGTGGCCTTTCCGGGACTTTGGCCGAGATTCACTCCGATGCCCAGGCGGCATGGACTGCATATTTAGGAGAGCCCCTTCAATAAAGGGATCGTTTTTTGCATCAATATGGGCACTGGGTTTACATGAATATTTGCAAGCATGGGGCATTCCGTGCTTAAACCCCTATACCCCAAAACTTTACCACTGTGGCCCTTCTTCTGGGAACTCCCAAAAAAGGCTCCCCCAACAGCCAGTCCGAAGCACTTTATTATCTTCATATGCATGCCTTGGCACTGCTAAGGTTTTGGGGTGTAAAATTTTGAGTTTAGGGTTTAGGGGTTAGAGTTTAGGGTTTTCGGTGTAGGGTTTAGAGTTTGGGGTTTTAGGGTTTTCAGTTTGGGGTTTTGGGAGGAGGGGGGGGTAGAGTTTGGTGAATAGAGTTCAGGGTTTAGGCTGCATAGGGTTTAGGTATTAGTAGGAAGTCTGGAGCTCTTCTGTACTACTGACATTCATTACTTTGGCCAAAGTAGGCAAAAGAGTAGCAAGCCTACATATATGTGATTTAAATCAATAGTCAATGCAACAGAATTCCCCCCGCATTAACTCGAATCACATCATACACCCCAAAATCAGACCTGAAAGCCCCCCTCATAAATCTAGAACCCTAAACCCTGAACCCTAAACCCCAAAATCTCAAAACCTAAATCCTCAGGCCTAGACCCGAAACATTGCACTGTGGCTTGCAGGTCCTGGGTAGGCTGACGGCCAGTGGCGAATCCCCAGGCGACGAGGCGGGAACAGGAGTCGAGTCGGGTGTGGACTTGTGTGAGCCGGAGTCTAAACTCCTTAAAGGGGGTTATTTAGGAGGATAAAAAAGGGAGTATTCTAGGGCGTTAAGGGGGATACTAGGAGTGTAGATTTAAACCTCACGTGGTGAAGTGTTGGGACAGGGCCGGGGTGGAGGTCAGGGTTTGGGGTTACAGCTTCAGGGGTTAAGGGCTTTGAGATTTGAATTTGAATTGTCTACTGGATTCATGGTGATGTTAATGTTGGGAAGGTCTTCGCGGAGTGTTTCTGCTGTTGCGCCAGGCTACAGTACCGCCTGCCTGCCATGTCAAACATCCCGAGTATTTGTTTGAGGTTTAGGATTGACTAAGTCCGCGTGAGGGGTCCTTCATATTTTTTTGAGGGTTATGGGGTTCCTTTTATTATTATTATCGGAAAGCGATCCTTCTTGCCCTTCCCAAAGTAATGGGATGAAATTACAGGTTTAACTCCGAGGCCAGACCAATCCAGTGCTGCTTGCTTGGTCTGTGTCATTGCTGGAAATAGTTTTTGACCTGGGTTTAAAGGTTAGGGTTTTAAGTTTAGGATTACCCGATAACAAGGAATATGAAGCTCATGATTTCGGTTTACATTCCAACGAGGAACTCGGAGCCAGTGCTGCGGCAGGTTTTGCTACAAGAATCTGATTCATGGCTTGTGATAAGTATGGCAAGTATGGTTTCTGTTGATCCCCCAAAAGTGTAGATACAAGTAGGCACAGGTCAAGATATCCTACTCGCCACCACAGTCATAACTAATCATGAGCTCTCCAAGTAGAGGGTTGTCAAGAATTCTTGCATCATGCAGGCTTACAGCTGCTTCCTTGCGCACCGCTGGTGGAGGCAAAGATCCCCCACATTCAACCTCCCAAACCAGATTTCTCAATAAAGTCTCGAATGGAGGCTCTTGGCGCGTAAAATAGTGCTGCTGTGAGTGTATGTATGTGCAGTCTACCCCCACTGTCTCCTGCTGTTTTTTTTTTCAATCATATTTCTTCGTGCTTGCCTTTTCGCAGCGGTGCCATCTGAGCCATGGGCTCTGGTATGACAACTCTCCACTCGCAAAGTGGCCTCATGGACCTCAACTGGAAGAACCTGTACTTGGCGGCTGGTACTTCTTCCACGGCAGAGCTTCTGCAATTGCTGCGGGATTTGGCAAAGCAGCATGGCGTGCACGCCTTGGTCAACATAGGCCTTGTCCCAGTTGAAGGGAGCTTCATTGACATAGATCCGCAAGTATGGGTGCGTCACATCCGAAATCTTGCTGCGTCGCCGATGCTTGATAGCCACGGTTCTTCCTCTGTCTTCATGCAAGAGCTGCAGCTACTACTTCGTCTCTCCCTCCAGCGCTACGCAACTGGGCTACTGTTGAATGGGCAGACACTATTTAACTACTATGGTTTCCTTATACTGGTAGCTTAACTCAAGGTCATTGACACCCTGTATATCTCCTCTACCATCCCAGTTTCTATGTCATTCTCCACCTTCGTTTCCATTCAATTCTTCCATTTTTGCAACTAAGCCCTTAAGCGTCTAGAATCTATAATCCTACCCCACAATAATCCCCCTCTAACCCCTTCCGTAGCCTTATATCCCGTTCAAAGGGCCTTAAATAACGACCCAGGCAGGTTTAGCCTTTAAAGGCGCCGTGCTTGGCCTCAGCCAAAAGGAGCGCAGACTAGCTCTCTGCAGACGCCTCGCCTTCTTTCGTGCGATCCTTGGGATCCTGGGCTGCGGCTTATAAAAAACATTTATGTCCCATTAGAAAGGGCTTCTAGACTTCTACCGGTCTAGGGTTTAGGGTTCAGGGTTTAGGGTTGAGGGTTATAGGGGTTACGGTACATGGGCTTTATATAGGCATTATACAAGGTCTAAGGGTTGCGGTTAAGGATGTTAAGTTGAAGTACCATACCGGGTTCCCTTTGACGGCAATGGAGGGCCTAGGGTTAAGTTACCAAATAGGATATAATCAAATGGAAAAGAACATGGCTTATGAGATGAACGCTAGGATTGAATACGACTATAGAGTGTTATGGAGGTTACGCTAAGATACTACTTTTCATTTTAGCTCCTATAATATCATTCTATACCCATACTACTGCAACGCAATTCAGGTTCCCTCACAGACACCCAGGACTAAGGGGCTCCTACGCGTGGTCGGCAATGAGACACAGCTCCAGAAGACCTGGGACTTTTGCGCGCAAAGCGTAACTCCGGATGACCAGCGACTTACTCGTGCTTGAAGGGTGTTGGGCAGTGGATCCTTATAACAATCCCCGCATAATGGTGTCAATGTAGGGGCTTAAAGAGTCACTTCGTTGGGGGCTTAGGCTCTTTGTAAATTTGGGTATAGGTTACCTCAAGTAGACCTCAACGTGACATATGTTGGTAATTTTTTGGCCCCGACGGTGCCCTCGTTCCCTTGTCCTCTCCCCTTAAGCACTAAACCCGAAAGCCGAAACCAGTAAGGCGATTTCTAGGCTGGCTCCTGGTGTGTGCCGGAGCAGCGGAACCCACCGGCGCAGCAGGACAGCAGAGCATTTTTCTTGGAGGATATTAACTTAAGTTACCAGAATGGGTATTATCCCCTATAATGGAGAATCAAATGGAAAAGAAGATGGAAAATGAAATGGACACTGGTGGAATATAGGGATTTAATGAATTTTTTCTTGGAGGATACTGAGCCCTCTGCCCTAAATCCTAAATCCTAAGGCTCAGATCGGCCTAAATCCCAAACACCCGAAGTCTCAATCTGTAAACCCTGAATGAAGTTCACGGGGTCCTTGTCCTCCTATCCCCTTAGGAATTGCTGTGCATTTTTCTGGTAATATAGCTCCAATGAGCTATCGCACTTTTCGTTGTATGATGGGAGGCCCTAAACCCCAATCCCTAGACCCTAAACTAAACCCTAAACCATTAGGGAATCACAGCTTCGGGGACCCTTAGGACCGGGCGTCATCTCAGCGAGGAGAAGCATCAAGTCTCAGCAAGCCCACTTGGCCCGCACCTGGGTTTGATTAAGGGCTCAGGGTTCAGGGTTTGGGGTTTAGGGTATAGGGTTTGGGGATTGAGGGTTTTGGGTTTTAGGGTTTAGGGTACAGGGGTCTCAGGGTTTGGGTTAAAGGGCTTAGGGTGGAGGGTTTAGGGCTAAGGGTGGCGGGGAGTTTAGGTTTCCTTTCAGTACCCCTTTTTTTGGAAGCACAAGGTTCCCTTATGAGCTATTTCAGACCGTGAACGTGAATGTTCTTTATTCTGATTCCTGGGTTACCTAGGCACTCTTTGCGGAAAGCGAGATGCCCACAGGCTGCCGCCGCGCATTGCATCACTTGTAGTTGAGTACGTGGGGGCACCATGCTTTGTACAGAATGTCGAGCCCACGTTTTGGAGAGGGACTTGTGTGCAGATGTGAACTTTGGTTGATTTGTTGTATATAGGCTGGCTTAGGAGAGGCGACAAGTGTGCGTCAAGGGGTACTATGTAATGAAGCAACGCATGTAGGGGCATGTTTGAAACTTCGATTCAACCAAAGCTCGCGAGTCCTTCCTACAAAGGGAGTTTCTCAAAACAATCCCCCGCATGTACCTTGTATACGGAGCGCCGCCAGAATCCCCTGGTTCTGCCTGTAGCCCTGGGTAGCCTACGGACAAACTCCCAAATGATGCTATGTTCCTGTCGCTTGCATGTGCTGCGTCAGAGTCCAAAAAGGTGTTTCACAGGTGCAAACTTCTCAGAACAAGCTCTGTGATGCTAAAGCCCTGAGCCTTAAACCTCTCTTTCGCATAGTAATTTGCACCCTAAACCCTAGCTCTATCCCAAGGGTGCCCCCCACTTCGCGGAACCCCTAGTTCTGTCAAGGGCGTTGTATTGGGCCTTACAACCCTCAGGTTAAGGAACCCTTCATGTATCCATACAACGCGAGGCTTTTATTGGACTGCACGGAAGGAAAGTACAGTAACAGTACTGTAGTTTATAGGGATCTATTTGGGACCCTAAGCCCGAAACTCTCTTTGCGGAGCTCCCAAATCATGGTCGGCATCCCCCATGCATTAGGTAAAGCATGGACCAAAACCCATTACCAAGTGCCCTACAGTCCAGAATCCCACGAACTTCTGGAGTTCAGGTACCACAAGCCCTAAAATCTGTTAGAGCCCACCTGCACAGTGCACATGACCAGAGTTTTAGAGACCAAGCTCTCATTCCCTCAATTGGGTTCGACCAAATAAGTACAGGAATGGCCCAGCACCCCCACATTAACATCCAGCAAGGCCATCATGCGCATACCTTTAGCGTTTCACCTACACGCCTAAGCCCTCATATTCCAAGCCCCCCCCCAAGCAAGCACGCCCCCTCAAACACTTAGCTACAAAACTGAACCCTAAAGCCCTGCGCCCCAAAGCCCCTCCTCAACAACCTGAAGCCAAATATCCTAAACTATAAAGCCCAACCTATAGTCCCTTAAGTAGATAGAGTATGGCTTTGAGTATATTATCGTAGTAGGATCCACCCCATATTCTATCCACTTAAGGGGACTATAACCCTAAACCCTAAACCCTAAATAGTAGTTTCCATTTTCTTTTCCATTATCCCCATATAACCTCAACATAACCTTAAGATTCCCCCATATTCTATCTACTTAAGGGGGATTATAAACCCTTCAACCCGACACCCGTTCGTCCCTGAGCCCTGCAGGTACAAAGTGCAAAGACCTCTTTCGTACTTCCCGCCATCCTATGGTACGCAGCAGCCCCAGATGGGGTTATACATTGGGATTTCTGGGGTTTAAGGTTTGGGATGTAGGGTTTAGGGTTTAGGGCTTAATGCGGGCTCACGTGGAAGATAGTGACGTTTGAGATAGGATCAGGCCCCAGGCAAGGAGAGTACAACGGCAGCTGCACATCGTGCACTTGACACCTAGTTTGGCTTTGAACTCTCAGCAGTACAGCACCAGCGGTGGTGGCAGCAGCGGAAGCAGCAGTAGTACTAATAGTTGCAGTGGCAGAGCAGCTTCGATACAGTAATTCTGTATCAGTCGTGGTATTTGAGAAGCGGTATCCACTAGCCCCGAAACAGCTTGATTCCTTCAAAGCTTCAACCATCCATGTTTTTGAACCTGCAGCAGAGCAACAGTGACAAATATCCCTTGGATTTCCAAACTTCAGACCTACAAGTCCGAAATCCAGAATTACCCCCACACCCTGACGCCCTGCGCCACGTTCGCAGGTCCTAGCCTCTTCCTCCTTCCCCCCTCCTCCTTCTAATGGACGCTCTCGAGTAGTTAGTAACCCCCCCACCTAGATGCAAAGCGAGTTTTATGGGCCAGATTAGGGGTAGGGGAACTTAGAATTTAAGCATACAACGTCCAGGCCCTGAACATTAGGTTTGAGGTTTGGCTTGACATGTGCAACTCGTAATTCACAATATGTACTTTTTCCATCTAGGATGAGCAATCCTACTTCTGCGGAAGCCGATGTTGTTGGAGGCTATTTAGGGGGGCCTTTATTAATCAAGAGCACGGATGACTGCTACCACCAACCTATGCCACTTACCACCTACCACCACCTACGTACCACCTACCACTGCTGCGATTGCATTTAGGTCTTAGCCTACGACAGCCTCCCTGAAGCATTGGCTGCTTCCGCTGAACTCGGCGGATCTGGGAGCTCTGCCCGGGTTGCTGGGCTTCAAGGATTTCGGCAGTAGGTTAGGCCTTGGGTTTAGGGTTTAGGGCTTAGGTTTGTAGGGTTTAGGGCTCAGGTTTGTAGGGTTTAACGCTTAGGTTTGTAGGGTTTAGGGATAGGAAGTTTACCTCTCACCACAGTGACCTGGGCATTGTTCAATGAAGATACAAGCGCCGATGGTTGAGAGAGGGAGGGCGAAGGTCTAAGATTGGGGTTGGGAGCTTGGGGCTCAACGTCAAACATGAAACCCTTTCTGTTCCTTTGAATTTAAACTGTTCGTGATTATAGTAAGTAATACGTATACAAACAACATGAACTATTTCAAGCACCTTCTTGCAGCAAGGCGGAGCAGCTGAGGGCACCCAGGGCTTTCAGGGGTGGCTTGGCGGGCTGTGGGCTTCAGAGTCCAGCGAAAGCTCTTCCAGTTGCTTGTTTGCGGTTGATGTTTGCTGATTGTCTAGTTTGCTTCCTTTACAACACATATTTGTTTGGGGCTTAGGGTTTAGAGTCTGAGAGTGTCTGGTTGGAACTGAGGCCGTCGGGTCTGACGGTCTGATGTCGCATTTGTGGCCTCAAAACGTTCAAACTGTCAACGTGAAGCTCAAACACTGGAGGGGCAGAGGCCGCAAACAACCACTGGGGTTGAAATACAGAACGGGGCACTGCAGTAGCTAAGCCTCGTTAAGCTGGGTAGGTCCCTGGTACATTTTAATAATTTTCCCTAATGGCTTTAATAAGGGACCCTATATACTAATATTTTTCAAAAGGTTTTAGGGGCCAACCCAGTAAGTATCCTTCTCAAAAACCAGCACCTCCCAAGCTCCTCGGCTCCACCCCCTCCCACATTGCAACCCTAAACCCTCCAGCCCTCACCCCAAACCTGAATCTAGAAGCCCGAGTCAATACCAACATTAAGGTTCCTTGGAGACCTATGGTATTGGGTACCTCTAACAGACCTCAATGCGATATCGGAAATGATTTAAGAACATCCAAACGGCTCTCTGCCGGAAACTCTCAGGCTAACTGCCTCCATTCGAGTTTAGGGTTCAGGGTTTAAGGTTCAATTAGAATTCAGGGGGGGGCAACTCCCTCAGGCCTTGTTCGTGGGCCTCTTGATGGCCGCCCGGGATGGCTTACCAGAGGCGGGATACCTTTTTGGGTCGGGTACTGCCCCCACTCATTGACAGTTGGAAACCATTTACAATGTACATATATTTAGCCCTTAATAGGACCCCCCTTATAGACTGTTAATGGTTGGGGGCAGTTGGTTTATGAAGGGGGGGAATGGATGCTAGAGACAAGTATAGGGGTCATATAAAGACTACTATAGGGATCCACTCCCTCCATAGAAAGCTCCAAGCCGTAGATGAGCAGAGCATTTCAGATTTTGATTTAGGCTCAAGCTCTTGGGAGTCGCACGGCTCAGGGCATGGGACAAAGGAATCACACAATGATGGGCCCTGGCATAGGGGTTTTATTATGAGGATGGCATGGAAATTGCAAGTTTTGGAAGCTTACCAAGGTTCTTTGGAGATTAAAGATTTTGAGTTGGGGCCGTAGAACGTTTCAGTGGAGCGTATTGCCGTTCATGGTTGAAGCTGTGATTTGGGGTTCGAACCCTAAACCCTCTTAGGGGTGAGAGGTCAGCAATTGAGTAGTAGAAGAGCTCAACCTGTGTTTAAAGACTGAGTTGCTCAGAACAGTCGTCAGTTTTTCAAGAATCCACAGGGAGTACCTCAAAAATCTTTCTCCCGAAGGGGAAACCTCAAATCGGACAATTTTCGTTCCCCCCGAGCCTGCATATTTCAAGAATAGGAGGTCCAACAAGAGCCCAATGCTATGTTTCCGATATCGGACGCCTAACTCCTTCTGACATTCGTCTCCACTTCTACAATTCGCTGCTGTGAAGGGACAGTTTACCAAGGTAGTCTCGTAAAACTAATCTATCATGGCTCACTCCTGCGCAGACAACGAGCCTCTGCACGTGTGACACTAACGGCATCGCTTCATCAGAAGGCTCCTAAATGTCCCCGCCTGCTTTCGCTGATTCATCCTTAGCTGTCCTTCATGGAGGGCCTGAAACATGGACTTCTGTTGGACTCTTGATCTTGCGGGGGAATGTTCCACTCACCATCATGCAACCCCCCAGGTGTCAAGAATCCTTGTTTTGCCGGCTCATCGTCGGACACATGAGTTCGTTCCATGGATGTGCAACGCATGGGGAATGAAAGCATATAACAGTTGGTGGTATGCCCTCTGCAAGAATGTTGCCAGGAGCTGGAAGGACATGCTCCACCGCCACACCTTCCGCCACTGGATGTTTATGATGGCTTTCTAGAGGCTTTAGTTCTAAAAGAGCCATATTAAGCCCCAAAATAGGGCCCATGACCTGCGTGATGGCTTAGGTCTTAGGATTTGGGCCAGGGATTTCAACGCGACTCCCCACATCCTGCAGCGGGATGTTGCAGATCTCAATAGCTGTTTAGAGCTTGCATGGATGAATTCGTGAGGGCTGCTTGAGTAAGATGAGTAAGATTCCATTTACTCCCCTGTGTGGTGCAGGGCTCTTGCGTGCGGCTTGAGCATGAAGCGTGATGGCTACCCATGGCCGCTTAGTAGGAGAGGGACAGGGAAGGGATGCTTCTAGAATTAATCATTTTCCCCTAGGGATCCAAATAGCCCAATGTAGGCAGGAAACTCAAAACAACGTTGGCCAGCCCTCACCCAGGTTATCTTTCCGGCCTGTTCTTCTTTCAGGGGCGGCGCTCAAACTTTGTCGTCATCCAGGCGGGATGTGCTCATGTTTGTTTCAGCGCTTGGAGGTCAGGCTCCAGGGTTTCGTGGGATTAAGGTTCTCAGGCTTTTGATGCCCACGGACTCATGGATTAGAGTGTCGGGTTTGTGGCTTCCGTTGTTGCACTTAGAGCTTCAGGCTTAGGATTGAAGACTCGGGATGTTTGCTACAAGATTACAGATTGGATTTGTGAGTCATTTGGGTTCTGGGGATGGCACGCAGAAGGTAGGCTGGCGAAGGACATCTGATAATTGTTTGTACTAGGTAGTTGGGAACATTCATGTAGTCTGGTCAAGTCATCCGTAGAAATGCGTTAGGGGCTCCCCAAAACCCAAATCCGGAAACCTGTTGTAGTATTAGGGGAAAGGATTATGAGTCTCTATCTCACCTCGTGCTGCCTTGAAGGGTCCCTGAACAAAACAGGTCCCTCTCCTGCTTGCCTGCGAAAACAGTCTAGTATTCAACATGCGATGGACCATGGTTCCCTGCATGATATTGCTTGGCTTCATATTCCTAAACCCTACACCCAAAACCTAACTGCCGTAGCAGGGTCGAACATGACGTGCAGGCTCACTAAAGGGCTAGGTCCCTTTTCTGGAGGCACCTCTTTCACGACCGACTATTCCATGCACGTCAGAGTCAGAGGTCGCAGATCTCAATGCCTCGTACCACGCAATGATACTACTTGGGGGCGGCCAACGTGCATTGACCCTTGAGGCTCAAACTCCTCAAAACCCTAAGCTGTTGCACCTAGAACCCGGAATTCGATCAGCAAACAGAAAGACCCTCAATGCCCTACATTCCAACACCCTATGAGAGCCCTCTTCCAGTGTGAGGTCATTGTCAAAGCCAATCTAGAGATTTGAATGGGGTGGAGACTGAAGCTGCGGCTTGGCTTTAGCTCCTTTCTGTCAGGTTTAGGTTTTCGGCGGTTCCCGGGGTTTGCAGTTGTACGGGGTTTCAGTTAGGAACCCCAAGAAGGAAGCTAGCTAAGAAGTCAGATGTTATATCAATAATGATAGGAGTCAGCTGTGTTCTTTGCAAGTTTGAAGGTTAAGTCTGGAGCTTAGAGGAAGGTTCTGAAATCTGGATCGAACATGAAGGATCTTGTCCTACTGGTGCCAAGTAGATGCCAATGACTTCCTTTTCTAGCACCTTGGGGCTCAAATTGGGCTTTAGGGTTTAGGGCCTGGGGTTTCACATAATTTAAGTACTTGGATCGTGCGGTTGAGTTGCGGGTGTAAGTTTTTCATTCTCTGGTGGAGCTAGGAGACATCAGCGCAGCGAATTAATCGACCTAGGCCCTGCTCAAAAGTCATACAGAAAGATTCTTGAGGCCTGGTTACCAGCCAAGCAGACCATTTGGGTCCTCATCAGGAGGAGCAGGTTCTTGCAATCCTACTGGCACCATACTTGCAAATCCTGAAGCCGAAACCCTACCCATGCATGCAATCATCATGTAAAAGCATTGTGTAGATTCGCTGTGTTATAAAATTGGCCCCCTAAGCCCTCAGCCCTAAACCCTACATCCCACATGGGATGTCCCAGTTCCTGAGATGGCCCCCTATAATCTCCTTATGATTCCAAAGTATCCCTGGGGTGGCCACGGGCCTTTTTTGGGGGGGGGGAAACCTTCATGGAATTCTAAATAGCTCTTTAATATACTCTCCATCGACCACCGACAACGGACCCCTAAGTTTTGGAACCTACTGCTCTTAGGCTGTGCTGCCGCAAGACCAGTGCGGAGAGGGCCGCAACGTGGCTTCAAACGTCAGAGTACAAGTATTTGAGTAGGAGCGTACCTCTCCGTAATTTTACGTGTCAAATCAACAGCAGTCTAGTTAATGGTTTGCTGTATTACTTGCGGCCGTCCCAACACGGAACGTGGAAAATACGCGGCTTGAAAGGCCTGGAGGTGATAGTTTCTTTAGATGTCAGCGTGGAAATCCTACGAGCTGGCTGCCTTCGCCCTCTAGCTATGTTTGCTTCGTACAATCTGTTGACTGACAAAATGTTCAGGCATGACCGGTTGGCTGTCCAGACCTGTGATGAGTACAGCCCGGTGGGATGATATGTGAATCCTAAGGTTTGGGCCTTTGTACAGTAGGTTTTTCCATGTTGGAAATACGAGGGTGTTTTGCGGGGGTTGAATATTGTGGGAAGGATTCGCAGAGTCTTTCAAGGCCATTGCTATCGCATCTTCATGCGGTTCGACGGGTCCAGACTCCTGGGCAAGGCGCTACTGTAGTGCTTCCATACAAAAGGCCAACAAGGCCATAATTCAGCATACGTCTGCGGTTCAGGTAGAGGTCTAGGTTTAACTGTTGGGGGTTTCAGGTTTTGTTTGTATCCAGGTTTAGGGGTGTATCCATATGCTTAGTCCACCTAAAGAATGCCATAGTGTCATATGTCATCATCATTCCCTCTGATGACAGCCAAAGAGAGGCTGTCTTGGAACAGAGCATGGGAGGCTATGCAATGCAGCGGCGTATAGCTGTCGGACCCCACAAAGAGAGTCTGTTGCTTTTGACAAACCACCTACACGGCGATTCTCTGCCAGTACTGTACTAGGAATCATTCCATGCTCCAGTCTGCTCTTGGTTGCTGAGGCGCTATCAATGGGGAGGAGCAGTTGTAGTAAGCTCTAGAAATTTTGGATGCATGCAGTAGTTGCCAAAATCAGTCTCAATAGGGTCATAACCTACAACCGACAGTTCGGGCCAGAAAGAAGACGAGAGCTCGGACAAGTACCAAGGGCACGACATGTGTACCATCCGCCAAAGAAATTTTGAACACCACATAAGCGCACAGTACATCGACAATGGTCCTTCGAGAGCATGTTATGTTTTGACCCATCCTCCCTGCCGAATGGTTGTGGGGGTAGGTTCCAGCGGTACAGCCAGACACTTCCAAAACCTTGGGACCCAACAAACCTTGGGACCCAACTCCTATACACCTACCCCCGTCAACTTGAAACTCCAAAATCCTGAGCCCTAAACCTTGCAGCCCTAAATCAAACCGAACGTCGAGGCCTGAATCCGTTTAGGGACCCCAGAGTCCTTCCTCAACCCTAAACCTTAAATCCTAAACCTTAAGCCGCTATACTCCCAGGTTCCTTCGGGCCCCTATGCTCCAAACCCTATCCGCCCTTGGGCCTCGCAGGCGCAACCCAAAGAGGCGCCAGATGACTGGGACGAGGCGATGATGGAATATGGGGGCTTGCAAAGAAGATAAGGGGGTTTGAGCTATCTCAGCCCCTATACTAGGGGCCTTTTAAGTCCAAATTTAAGTCCAAATTTAAGCAGGTTGCGGTAACTAGAATGCCCTGATTCAAGAACTAGGGATCCTTTTCAGTCAGGTAGGTTCTGCGCAGTCCGGATCCTCCCCAGGGCGTCTGTTCTACTTGGGGGAATCTAACTTTCTTTGTGAGTCCCTAGTATAGTAGACGGTAGACATGTTGTGAGTTTTTACCCTGGTGAACATGGAGTTTCCGTGAATTCGGGGTCCTTCTTTGCAAGTGCGTTTTTCGGGTAGAGAACTAAAGGGGTTCGATTTTTTGGGAATGCCTGTATTAGGATTCAGAGTTTTTACCAGGTTCCCGAACATGCTATGCTGACTGTTGATTTCCTTGCAATTTCTATAGCTATAGAATATTATCTTCACAAAGCCTTCTGAAATTATTTTTTGGGCCCCTACATTATGGACAACCCCAAGCCCTGGACTCTAGACCCTAAACATCCCTAAACCCTCAACCCTGAACCCTCAGCCCTAAACCCTAAATCCTAAACCCTAAACCCTAAACCCCATTACAAAAAAGCCCCCATACAACCACAGTCTGTGTTTCATCTTCCTTTTCCATGCGATCCAACATTTTTGGGGTAATGCCCCTGAACCC